TCATTGCCCAGTTCATCAATTGGCTGTTAATTCAATATAATGGCAGAGTCAATGGTTAAATTGGTTGGTTAGCTCAGAATAATAAATGAGGTAATTTAATTCAGGTTAATTGCCCTTTAACACTAGGTTATGACTTCTTCACTTCTCCTCTGAAAGAGGAATGAACGTTTTCATACCCAGGTGCTTGGACTGGGTCAGGAAGAAATCAGGTGATTTCTTCCTGGCTCAGGATTGGTTGATTTTGTAAAATCTAAGAAGTGATGACCACTTCTTGTCCTTGAGTGAGGCTCAGTGAGTCTCGCAAAAATGGGATTTTTGGGAGGCTCACTGGCCTCCAGAACCAACACGTTTCTGTGGTCCAGTTTCCACCGGATGCTGGAGCTACGTTGCTTTGGTCCGCGACAGAGATGAAAAACAATGCTTCACATTTTCTCGGATGGTAAAAATATTGTTCCTTCATATTGGTTCAGAAAAAATATGCCGACACTTGGATGCAATGAACCATGTTCAAGTAACGAAATGCAGTATTGTACATTGAAAACAGAAAGCGAAATCACAATTATTTCAATCAATAGAGACATTTCTTATTGCTGTTCGTTGGACGTAAACAATTGTACACTTCATACAAGCTTTTGATTTTTTTCGGTGAAACTGTAAGTTCAATTCTTTGAGCAGCAATCTCTTTTTCCAATCAAGATTTCGAAATTGACCCATATTCTAAATAGATGTTACCAGCTTGCCTGAAAATTTATCTACAAATCTATATCAAAACTTTTCAACACTGTGGAAAACGTATTTTGGAGGCGTTTGATTGATGCGACGTTTTGCTGTTTAAGACTTCATAGACTTCCATTTCCTGTCATTCAGAGTGTACTGTACTTACCACTTGAGTAGGTTCAAGCACCAAACAATTGTTTCCTTGGTCATCTCATATTGGCATATTTGGGAATTAACTTCTAACTAATTATGTTCGTGCAATTCACTTCTGTTCCTTTACTCCTGCCAATGATGAGCAATTTATCAGGAAGACTGCATCATCTTCAGATGAACAAACGCATGCAAAAAACATGCATGCTTCAATAAGTGGCTGCGACTGCTTTATATAGTAATCATTTTTAGGTAAACTTCATGTTTCTGAACTTTCAATTTGTATTGTTCAAAGTGACACATGATGACCAAGTTGATGCAAGTTATTCCAAAGGTCTTCAAATCAACCAACAATCCAAGCAATTCAGGATGGGAGAAGTAATAAAGTTAAGTGAACCCCACACGCAGACACCTCAACATGCCAACAATTTGACACGTAATTTGACCCCTGTTTATTTCCTTATAAAAATCTATGAAAAAGGCAGACATGCAGACACTGACCTGACATGCAGACNTCTTCTCTTTTCTTTTTGTTCTTTCAGAAAGCTCATGCACAAGAAAAATATTGTTTTGACATGGTTTTTTTCTAAATTCATGCAAAATTCATTTTTGTTCCAACGTTCACTGTGACTTAGGATGACAGTTCTGTTACCTGAAAAAAGACCCAAAATATTTATTGAGCCAATATACATAAAAAAGCTAATTTGTTTGAATATATCATCTCATTTCCTCAATTGAGATCAAAAGTCAAGCTAGATATATGCCACATGTCCTGAAGTTTTCCCCATTTATATTCCTATAATTTTGTCTGTTTTTTTTTTTAAACCCCTATTCTCACATGTTCAAAACAAAAAAACAAACAAAAAGCTTCGCCCCACCCCAACCCAGAAAAGTTGTCAGGATGTTTGTATATATACATAGACACATGCTTTATCTACAACTTACCCTCGTCCGAATAAGCAGCCCTGCTTCATGCAATAATCTCCCAAACAAATAAAGAAATAAATAAATACTACAGACACATAAAAAATAAAAAACCAGGCAGAAAACTCATAGCTCCGGTAGAAAAGGAAAAGAGGGTCCTGTTATTCTCAGCAACTGCTGGAGGAACAGCAGGGTTAAGTGAGGCTTGCGAAAGTGAATGAAGCCGGCGACAGGCCGCAAGCAAACCCCGGAAACACATTCAAGCCGTCAGCAGCCGTTTTTAGCCTGTTTCATTCCAACCCCCCCAGATACCCCCCTCTTCTTCTTCACACACACACACACGCACAGAGATAGGATCCCTCTTCCCCATCACGTTATTCCAAAGGGATCCAGGATCTCTCCCCTTCGATAAAGGGAAAAAAAGTTGGTGGTCAACGAGCCGCAACGCGAAGGATATCCCGTTGCAGCCCACGCGACTCCTTTCAAGGTAACGGAAGCACACGACAAGAACAACATGCGCTCACTGGCAAAAAAAAAGGAGAAAGCAAAAATAAAAAATAAATAAGACATGAAAAAAATATATCAGGGCAGAACGACTCTATACAAAAAAAAGTTTTGCTGATTTATATCTAAAATATCTTCATCACAGACACACACACACACTATTCCACAATCCAGAGGAGAGGAACAAAAAACAAAGATGAAGTCAGAAGCTAAATCTCCCAGAAGAAACTTTTTCCCAGACCAGAGTTGATGGGAAATTTAATTGCGTTCAGGAAAACACAGTCAATACTCCTAAAATAGAATTTTAAAAAGGGACCGAGAAGAAAAAAATTGAGATAGGGAGATTTTCAGTTGGAAAACAAACATTTTTGTTTTGAAAGAAAAATTCATAAGTTATATTTGGTGATGTTCTGGGTCTTGAATTGATTTTTAAATGACTTGAAAGGATGCTTAATTTTTTTAAACTTCCTCACCAACAGATTCTTCCCTATTGCAGTATAATACTGCCCCAAGGCGGATTGGCCAGAGTGGGAAATCTGGCCAATCACAGCATTGCACTCTTGTATAACAGTCCCCATACTGGGGACTGATATAAGCTAGGTAGCAGTAGCACACCCAGTATGGGGACAGACATAAGATCTGAGGTTCTTGGTTCAAATCCCTCATATATATAGGTTATTAGGATTCAATTACACCCACACTCACTGTCACCACACATGAACACACACTCATATGACATGATTAATCAAAATAAAATATTATGAAAACCACAGCAGCATGCAAATGTATCTATTTACAATTTTTTTGTTTTCTGAAAATTTTTGGAGAAAAACAACATTTTGAATCCTGAGAGTATTAGGTAGGCATTTTGTTATGCCCACCTGCTATGCGTATGCAAAGCGTTTTGCTATGCCATTTTGTTATGCCCAACTGCAACGCATTGCAAGTGAGCATAACAAAATAATAGGCATTTTGTTATGCTCACTTGCAATGCGTTGCAGGTGGGCATAACAAAATGGCATAGGAAAACGCTTTACATACACATAGCAGGTGGGCATAACAAAATGCCCACCCGCAATGCAGTAAGGAAAGTCCTGAGTGGGTGTAACTTGGTTGGGCAGAAGCTTGTGGCAAATTTGGCATGAAATGCATTTGCCATGCATTTTGCAATGCCTAATTATTTGCTGGGTATTCTTGGGATATCCTGGGATAATTTAACACTCAGGGACAAAATTTCACAATCAGGAGAGATTTTCAAATGCTGATTTCTTTTCTGTTTGCTGATCATCAGTCATTTTTTGGCAGTCTAATGCAAAAGGCATCAAAATTCTCATGCAACTGATTGCATTGAAACCTTGCTTTTTTGTCAAATATACCAACTTTACACTACAGTGTCAAGCACCCAGGCCATAGCTAGCCAGCTGATTGATGGTGTTGTCTTTATTCAAATGTGATTCAAACCTTTTTGAATCCCAACTTTGTACAAGAGTTGCACAGCAAGGGTTCAATTGCCCAAATTGTCTTTCACTTAATTTCAAAACACATTGTTACATTTTTATTGCTTTTCTCTTTCCAGTTTAAAAAAAGTTCAACTAAAAGACTTCAGAAAATTCAAGTCACCAGCATTTGAGATGAAACGCGTTTGAGTTAGATAAGTTTTCAATCCATTGTTTTTGAAGGAATCCAGAAAAGGACTGGACAAATAATTTGACCGAGGGAGGTTCAAGTTATTCACATTAAACTGTATATATGAGACCATCAAGAAGCAATAACCCATTGTAACATTTTCTCAGTTTTAGTTCAAATAAATGGATTGTAAATATGTACCATGCCAAGGTTTAATAAAATTGTTTTGCAAAGGTATAAGTACAGTTGGACCTGAATAACTTGAGCCTCTTATAATCAACCCTTTGGTGGAAGTGCCAGGATTTATACACAAAATGTTTTGACCCCAAGAAGTAGAAAAAAATGGGGGAACAGCAAAAATGATTACAAGAGCCAAAGTTGGGAAAAATCCAAAATTTGTTAGCATTCCTTCAGAAAAACTTGCAGGAGGAAAGAAAAGTTGCTGTTGGGTGGAATTTTTTTTTACAATCCCGCCATAGGATTAGCATTGGGGAATTATCAGGACAATGACTTTCTTCTTGCAAGATTTTTCCTGACGCAAGCTACTCAGCCAAAGCTGCCTTTTAGTGATTGTAGTCATATTAACGACCACAACACCCTTCACTTTACGCACGACCCTTTTAATGACCCTTTTAAGCTAATGTATTTCCGCTACGCTTGGCTGCGCCTGGTGCGCTAGCAATTATATTTCACAATCCTGTTGTTGACGGAATACTTTCCCAACCTCGCTCACGCTTCCTTCCTTTGGAATAAATGAAGCATGATGTCCCCGATCCGAATCGGTCCAGCCGAAGCTATATATACAGGTGCATTTTATGTTTTGTTAAGTTTACCGCACCAGACTCTGTCCGAACGCCGAATCTACTCCGCTTCGCTCTCGGTAGAAATATTGTATCACTGTGTGAAGATAAATAAATAAACATTTGAAACACTCTCACGGAGTAACTTTTGCGTTTCCTTCGAAAGTCGCAGAAAACAAATTAAATCTCCTATCCTCTTTTTCATTAATTATTAGAAAGTAGTTCTCAACGACTGATCATCGTTGATCACCAACTTTCGTAAAATAGTTTTTGGATAACATGATGTTTGGTCAAACCAAAATGCAGGGGTCTGCAAAAACAAATCCCTGCAATGCCCTGTGCGGTACAAAAGAATCTGCCACCACCCAAGGGGTAAGTATAAAGAAACCTCTTGATGCTGACTTTTTTTAGACAAGTTCAAAAAGTTTTATTGAAGGGATGCAGCTGAAAACTTTCTGAATGCCAACATTTTTCTTGTTTTTCTGCTTTCCCTCAACATTGCCTCCTCATATTGATGTCTTCCTTTTGTAACCCAGGAACCAATTTGGGGTTTATTTTCTTTTCTCTTTATATGGAGGAGTCTTTTCTCTACAAGGTTTTCTGTTCTTTGCAGCTGTTTCCTTGTTTTTGTTATCCTCCTACCTGCGTCTACCCGCATAAAGCATGACGCTCAATTATGCTCATTCTGTTTTACAATTTGCTACTTGACGACAGTGATGAACAACACTCACTGATGCTTCTCCCTTCTAAATTTCTAATTTAGAAGGAATGGTTCCTTTGAACTACCATGTATATATATATATTCATCAAAATTGTTAATGGAACCCGAAGTTCCTCATTTGAGACAAATATTACATCTCTATATGTTCTGTTTTTCCAGGAGGGCATGAATATATCTTCCTTCATGCAAATTCTCCAGAATTATTCTAGAGCTGATTGCAGTTATTTCTCAGAGAAACTTGCAAAACAATTTAGCAATACTCTCTTTGAATCTCTTTATTTTATTAATGTTTGTGTGATTGTAATGTATTGTGTACTGTAACTGAATATGTATTTGAAAGTATTTTATTGAAGTGTATACTTTATTCCCTTGGTCTACAGACAACACTTTCAAGGTACCATAAAAATAATACTCATGCCAAATGTTGGAAAAAACTTTGAGGAGTCAACAATCTGGCACCCAAGAAGGAAATCTTCTCTTCCTGTTGGAAATTTTAGAATTCTCTGAAGCCTGTGAATCAAACCCAAGTTTGGTTCCAAGGCTCAGCAAGTAAATTCTTATTGAGTAGTATCATATTTTATTTCTTGGTCTCTGGACAACAAAGAAAGGAAAATCTTGAATATGCCAACATATTTCTCCCCATTTCCCTGGTCACGCAATCCACATCAAATTGATTCCTCTTTTTTATTTCCTCCAGGCGTCATATGGAAAAAATCAGTGCGCCAAATTGAAAATTAGCAATGGAGGGATGTTAGTAAAATTGTATGGAGATATAAATATTACCTTCATATCAGATATTTCCTCAGAATCAATCAAGCATTCCTTGAGGTTATTTCTCAGAGAGACTTGCTAAAATGCTTTTGCAAGACTCTCTTTGAAACTTCTATTTTTACTCTTTGTTGAGCAACTGTAATTGAATGTGACTGAGTATATTTCAATATTGTATACGTTATCAGAGCAAATATTTTATTTCTTGGTTTCCAAATGACAAAATAATGAAAATTCTGAATGTGCCAAAATATTTCTCCTCATTTCCGTAATAACCTCATCCTATTCAAATTGATTCCTCTTTTTTATTTCCTCGAGGGTTTATATGGAAATAATCAGTGCGCCAAATTGAAAATTAGCAATGAGGGATGTTAGTAAAATTGTATGGAGATATGAATATTACCTTCATATCAAATATTTTCTCAGAATCAATCAAGCATTCCTTGAGGTTATTTCTCAGAGAGACTTGCTAGAATGGTATTGCAAGACTCTCTTTGAAACTTATGTTTTCACTATTTGTTGAGCAACTGTAATTGAATGCTCATACTGTGACTGAGTATATTTACAATATATAGTTTATAATATATATCAGAGCAATATTTCCCAGTCATCTGGACAACAAAATGATGAAAATTCTGAATGTGCCGAAAATATTTCTCCTCATTTCCCTCCTAACCTCATCCTCTTCAAACTGATTCCTCTTTTTTTATTTCCTCCAGGCGTCATATGGAAATAATCAGTGCGCCAAATTGACAATTAGCAAGGGAGGGAGGGGTCGCCAAATTGCACAGCTGATTTCCTGCAAAATAGATAGAGAGAGAGGAAGCGGAAATCAAGAGATGAGGAAAGAAGGACGGAACCGGATCGCCAGCAGGCGGATGCTTTTGTGCCGGATGAATAATGACCATCGCTGACAGCTCGAAAATGCAGCAGTTCCGACCAAGAGGGATCCTCCTCCCCAGCATGCAGCAGCACCAGGCTGAGATCCTCCTTCGTGTTTTTATTTTTCGCTGACTTTTTTTTTTTTTTTTTTTTTTTTTTTAATTTAGAAANTTATTTTTCGCTTCCTTTTTTTTTTTTTTTTTTTTTTTTTTGCAAACGCGGATAAGAAAAATTCACAAACGCCCGGCCGGAAGTTGACGTCCCCGGGGCGACGATGGATGCCCCCGCGGGAAGGGCAGCAAAATTCGCACACTTGCATTGTTTCTCATCATCATCATCATCCCCACTTCCGACAATCCCGGTTGAGTTGAATAATGAAAATAAAAGCATCATCGAGAAGGAAAATAAGTTTGAACACATGAAATCCAAACTCGCATTTTGATGCATGTGTTTTTTTTTAATCTGCAAGGAATTAAGCATGAAACCGAAAAAGTGAACGAATTTTTTATTATAGAAGCATGTTTTAATTTTTGGCAGAGTGTATTTGCTCACTTTCATTATTTTTTCACTCTTCCGAAAATCTCGGTTGAGTCGAATAATTAAAATCAAAGCATTTGCAGAGAATAAGCAAAATAAATTTGAACAGATGAAATCCAAACTTGCTCATGATGCATATTTTCTCAAATTATGCGAGAAATAACCCATGGAACCGAAAAAGTGAACAATATTTTCAAAAGGAAAATTATAGACGCATTTTTTAATTTTTGGCTGGGAATTGGGACACTTCCGTAGTTTTTTTGTTTTACACTTCTCACAATACTGATTGAGTTGAGTAATGAAAATTAAAGCATTATACAGAGAAGGAAAAAATACAAACAGATTATAGCCCAACTTGTTTTTGTAAAATTTTTCAAAATGTGTCAAAGAAAGGTTGAATAAAAAGAGTCAACCAATTTTTCAGAAACGAATATGATAGACTCCATGTATTGTTTTAGATACATGCTTAAATTTTCTACGCCAAATAATAATGCAGAAAAACAAATTTCCCTCAACATTTAAAGCCTGTTTTATTCGAAAGATTTCCCCCAGAGAACCAGAAAACATTATTGATTTCAATCATGCTTCATTTGCCATTCTAATAACATCCATGAAGATCTTCAACATAAAGTTGCCTTTTATCCCTTGTGATGCAGAAAAATTGGGGTATTCTTGCAACATTTTGTGTAAATCAGCGCTGAAATTTTGAAAATCTACTTTTGTACCAATGCCTATGAGTCAGGAAAAAGTCCAATATTTCTTCTATTACTATGCATGTAGGTGGAAGCCTACATGATGCATCAGAAACCCAAATGAGTATAGCCCAAAGAAACATATAATAAAACTTGACAAAATGCAGGACATTATGAATGGAAAGAAAAATACCTCAAATGGTGGCATTTTTCCATCATTCCTGGCATAGGATTTGCATGGGAGAATCCTGAAAACAGTAGAAAATTTGCCTCCCACAATTTTTCCAACTTACACCTTCTCAACATGGGTGCATTTCAGTGACCTTGTGTCAAACTGCCCCCCTTCAAATTCCAACTCTGTGCACAATGCAAAAGAACCCTGGTTAAACTTGTTTGCCCTGGAAGTCAAGTGATAAATTGGATTGTGAGCTGCAGCACTTTCTTTCTGGACAACAAAAACTTCCTGGCATGTACAATTTTTGTTTGCAAACATTACTTAAGTTTCATCAAAAGGAAATTATGCAATGGACACTGAATTCAGTTTTTTCCTCTCGAAAAAAATAATCTTTTGCACCAGCACTGGAAAATATGGCTTTTACATTCTAGACACATCTGGCGTGGTCATGAAACCCATCTCAGGTTGACACCCTGGGGGATGGGTTTTCCTCATTTGGTGGAGCTGTTTTGATGGCAGAAAGACACAGGGCAAATAAATCCCAGCATGGTCTGCTGCAGCAGATTTCTAAGACTTCAGTACCCATCTTTGGCCTTTCATTGCCCTTGATATGACAGCAAATTGATTTCAATCAAACATTTTGACAGCTGCACAGGATCCCATGCCTTTGCTAAAGATGCAGTTTCTAATGTTGATTTTCTGATTTGCTGATTTTGTTTCTCAGAATTTGAAATATTTGTCAATATTTTATGAGTATTACCATCATGCCTTTCTCGAGATTTGTGCTGCATTTTGAAAACGTGAATATCTTCAATTCGTTTTTCGATTATTTGAATGCTTTCATTAGCCAAATAAAGGACAGGTTCTTTTCACTTGTAAGTTTCCAAAAACTGAAAAATATTCATTATTCAGCTGTATTGAAATTTCAAAGAAGATGTTATGGGTGGCTATCGACAGGAACTATGTCTAATCAAAGATATATTATCCACCAAGATGAATGAATATTTTCCCAGTATAATCAAACATGAGGGATCATTCAGTTTAAGAACTACATTTTCACAAATGAACAGGCTTTGAGTTTGATGATGGCCTGGCAATCACCAAAACCAATTGTTCTCAAACACCTTTATTCAAATTTCATCAGGGATAATGAAAGTCCACAATCCATTCCCACTATTCAAGTTTTCAAGTACAACATTGAAATTTTAAAAAATATTGACTGCATAATTTATCCGAGATTCATTACATATACACAATCAAATGTGAGCACAGTGAAATAATAAAGCTGTACAAATAAAAATATTAAAAAAGTATTTTGAGCTTACTAAAACATGGAGACGGTGGATTATAAGTACAGCTCATGGAATTGAATTGAACAGGAAGCTTTATTTTTTGCTTTTCAGAATTCACAATGTTCTATAACAATGTTCCTGCATCCAAAACCCTTATCCCAGTTCCCACCCATATTCATCTGAACACATTCCATCACATCAGAATGGAGAGCAGAGAAATAAGCCAGAAAAGCATATTCAAAGAACAGAAAATGCATCCCAAAATGTATAATTGCACAACTGATGTAAATGCATACACTTTCTTCCCTCCTCTTGTTGTCCATAGACTGAGGTAAATAAAATACGAGTTCAAAATAAAATATATCTTCTATATATTCAAGTCACAATTATTCCAATTGTACAAACACACAAAATACAGAGATATGGAGAATACAAAGAGAGTCTTGCTAAATTGTTATGCAAGTCCCTCTGAGAAATACCCTCAAATGACTCTAGATTAATTCTGAGAAAACATACAGTATCCAGGGTAAATATATACCTTCTGGGAACACAAAATATATAGGCGAGATATTTGCCTAGATTGAGGAACTGTGGGTTTTTTGAACACTAATGAATATACAGTATATACATCTGGGTATATATATATGAATACAAATATATTTAATAAATACACTTGTACCTTTGACAAGAGGGTTCTTCTTAAATTGGCAAGTTCTTCAGAAAGAGGAGGGTTGTATAGCACTGTTGACAAATAGCTGATTCTATAGAGGAAACAAACATAAACGGGCATCACGCATTTATGAGGGCTGACGCGAGGGAGGGGAACCAAAGCAAGAGGGAACAGCTGCAAGGAACTTAAAACCTTTTAAAAGAAATTTCAACCCAAATAAGGAGAGGAAACGAATAAAGAAGGAAATCAGTTTCTGGGTTACACTCTGATGATAACACATTAAAAGATTTCAGTATAATAAGAATTGCAGTTTAAGGCAATTACTGAACCCAAATTAAAGCACACAGTGTTCAGCCTGATGTTCCCAGATGAGGTTCCGTTGATTAAACAGTGAGAGAATCTTTGAGAAGAAAAGATTGTGCTTTAAATTGGAGATTGAAGACATTGTGCTTTAAATTGGAAATTGAAGACAGTGCTTTAAACTGGGTTTAACTGCTGCAATTGATTCAATTCTGGCTTATGCTGCAATTCTTGTCACTGATATTTGGTTTTCAATGTCAGGGACAGAATGGGTGTATGCATACATATCAATTGTGCAGTTGTATTTTTTGGAATGTATTTTCTTTTATTTTTGATATGCATTTGCATCTAAGTTCTGTTTCCCAATCTGAAGTGATTGAATGTCTTTGAATGGATTTGGGTTGGGTGGGGAGGGGGTTTGGATGTGGAAATTTTGATTGAACGTTGTGAATGCTCAAAAGCAGAAAATAGAGCATTCTGCATTCATTCATTGACAAGAAACCATGTACAGTTACAAATCATTTCAGAGTTTCTGAGAGAAAAATCTTTAATCTGTGTTCACCAAACTTGTTCTGTGTCTACTAAGTTTGCCAGAAAAAAAATGAGGAAAGATGAATTTGAGAGCACTGCAGGAACAAGAAATACTTCCAGAATGCCACATATAGAGAACATTGTCTTTTAATCTCCTTATTATTTTATGCCTGCGCAGTCATACACCCAGATATATCTTGGCATTTCCTCCACATTTTAGCAACAAACAGCAATAATTGTTTGTTTGGAGAAGTTCCAAGCAATTTATCCACAAGAGAGCAGAAGGCGTTGATGGGAAACCAAAAATCCTCACTCATGGCTTATTTCCTCTGCAGCTGCTCCTTATCTGAAGAAATAATTAAAAAAGGGGGATCTCCGATGTCCACCACCACCAACACCATTACCACAAAAAAAGAGATATGAAAGTAGCCTGGTCTGTGGGGGAATGAGTGGAGAGATCCCCAAGCGTCTCTTTAGCCACCCTTGGGGAGCCTAATTGAGGTCCAGGAGGGATCCCTTCAGGGATCCTCCCCTGCTGTCCAGTGGTCGCAGTGATTGAGCTGAGCGGCAACAGCACATATAGCCAAACCTGCTTCTCCTGCCTTATATAATCGCGGATACATTTCACTCTTTGTCTCCTCTCCCCCTCATCGCTCTTCTTCTATACTTCATGGGTCACACCAAAAGTTCTTCATTTTTTTCACATATCATCCAAAATTGATAATTTGGAAGATAATGGGGCTCAGTTGCCTTATCCAGCTGTATCTATTGTCCAAAATTCAGCTTTTCAGAGCTCACCAAACCTCTTTTGGTTTGGGCATTTGAAGCTTAGGCATTTTTTTGTCCAACGAAATAATATACAATATACATAAAAAAATTATCATGGTCTGCCAGAAGTGGTTTTCTTGAGAAAAAAAAATCGAAGTCCAATGGCTG